TTAGTGCAGGCATTACCCTATCCATTTCATCAGTAGCGTTTGCTCCTGTACTACATTCGATTGTCTATTACTTTTTCAATATTTGTGGAAAACAATAGACGGATGATCGGCTTTTTTTAAAATTTAATTCCACAAAGTCTTAATAAGGGAAATAATCAGTTCGGATGAAAAGAAGTGGAATTCTTATATGATTTGTATGAGTAGTTTTAAATCAAAGAATTCATTTGCCCAAAGTAATTGTTCGCAGCTGATAACAAATTATCAAGACACTTCTAAAGTTGCATGGAATAGCTGGATATCTCGATGCTAAATGGAGAGGCAATATCGATATTGAGAGGGATACGTTCTTCCTATCTAAAAAGAAATTAAAGTGGTATAAACACCTACCTGAAGTTAGAATCAACACCGAAAGAAGGAATAGTTTGACGATAGAACGGTACCTTCCCACTAGTTAAGTACACCATAATTGTGATCAAATGAATTTAGTTGTTATAAAAAAATCTCGATGTAGCAAACATGCTTTGAGCCACTTACATATTATATTGTGTTTATCAAATTCTTAAAATTTAACAAGCAAAAAATTCCATCAAAGGTAACAATTTTGAAATGGTTTGAACTTAAAGACGAAATTTCTCCAAAATTTTATTTTATTAAAAGCAATGAATGGTCAATATTAGTAAAACTATTTCTGCTAAATTTTTTTGAATTCTCGGCGAAAAAATAAATTTTGGTAGTGTTTCTGATGCCGAAGTGTATTTATCAGTTCAAGTGCTAAGACTATGTTGACACATCAGCTCTTCAAAATAGATATCTGAAATATCTCATTAACAGTTTTGCTCATAAAGTTAAATGCTTCCATTCAGAATTGGAAATGAGCTTATGAATGGTCAACGATACAGTAGAAAAGAAACCTTAAATTTCTAGACTCATATTTACTTGGACAGTTAAATTTTTAAAATTTCAATTAATTAGCTTTTAGTGTGAATCGTCAACTGTTTCACGCGAAGGAAATGCAGAATATTAAACTCATTCAAATAACCTCCCAGATAATTTCTTCTTTTACTGCCCAGAAACTAATATGGAATAACTGAAGTTGTCTTATTCACTGCAAGTTGTGCGCTACGTTTACGACGCAAATATTCAAATTATATTAGTTAATATAGAAAGCCTAAAATTGCTGTCATTGTAGAATATAATTATGGCAAGCAAAGTGGAATTTTTCCAATTGGCACAACAAGTAATAGGAATGAAGTGTATGAAATGATTTATAAGTTGTAAGGAGGATTCGGTAACCATAGGGATGAGGAAAGGGAAAGCAGCGCGATGGTAATTGAGCGGTGAAGTATAAGATGAAAGGTGAGATGGGGTAAATTTATCAACTTCATTAGTAGTTCTCGCTCACTTTTTTACCTCCTCCTTTAAACTTTTCCACCCTCCATCAATATTCTGTTAATGAGCAAACTAATTCCTTTGTATTTTTAACTGAGAATTAAAATTCAACATATAATTTGTCCGCCGCCTTAATTACCAGTGACAAGCAGTTGTTGCAATAAAGTTACTTGATAGTCACTGATATTAAGATAAAGCAAACTGATCATCAAATTCTCTTATTTACAACTATTGTGAGTTTTTCAATACCTATTTCATAGTTTATTTAGTGATTATTTCAGGGTATAAGTTGCATAAATCACAATTTTAAAAAAAAAGCACCGCTTTTTAAACTTTCTCAAAAGGTTTAGCAGTAATGCGGCATAATCAAAACATGACCGTTTTCCATTTTTCCGTAAAATGCTCCTTCTGTATGCTAATTCTATTACTTCTTTTCAGTAAATTTTATCGCTAACTTTTTAAAAATTAATTTCCAACGAGAAAAAAATTAGATGACTCAAAATGAGTCATTTTTTCACAGAGTAAGATTATTCTTGTGAAACGGAATCTAAAAACAGTTGAATCTGAGCAATATTCTCATTCATTCTATGAAAAAATGTGAGTGTTAGTTCTTAATGAATACAGTTATTACAGTTAAAGTGTTGCTGAGAAATAAATGCTTGGAACCGGATTCTGAAGTTATGTTGTTCGGTATTAAATCAGAAATGGAATTTACTGAAATTATTTGAACTTTTGGCAGTAATAATAATGGAAATTATCAGCAAGTCTTTATCTTAAAACAATACAATCCCAAGCGAAAGAAATCTGATGTGGTCAAGAAAACATTTCGATTACACGGCGATTCATGCCGTCAAATTAATTAAAATACTTTATGATGACAATGATGTCATGAAATTTCTGTTAGTGTAAGTGTTACAGTTTAAGATGAGCATGCTGATAAATTGTAAAAAGCAACTCAATGATTAATCAAAGATCAACGATTAGTTATCGTTGATTGCGCTTAGGCTTGAAATTTTAATTAGATTTTGTTCACATGCATGGACATATCGCATCAAAAATTTATGAAGTGGTTAATGCGCAGAAATGACAGATGAGTGAGTAACGAAAGATAGAAAAGTAAAATGTAACTGACTGTAAAAAATATTCTCCAACATATGCAACGAATATCAATCTCGAAATATTCATATTTTTATTTGTAGATGCATTTGATAGTGAACCATAGACAAGCTTCAGCACACTACTGAAAACAAGTTTATGGTCAATAAGTTCAAGGAAAGCGGGTATTCGATCATATCTGGTAATTTCGAATAGAGTTGAAACGATCAATATTCATTCAAAAGAAAATGAAGGAAAGAATCGCTGTTGCTTTAGCAATTTTTCGTGCATTCTTGCATTTCAAAATTTTAGAAAGAGATATTTTGCTGAATATTAATATATTTAAACTTGATCCTTTGTATTAAAAAGTCTTCCAGTGTATTTAAAGTTTTCCGCCAATGTTTTGTAGTTTTTTTGTTTTGAAAAGATAATGACGCAGTTGAAGGATAACTGATGCAAATTTCAGTCTATAGTAATTATTCAAAACAAATCTAGACAGTTTTTAAGAACAGCCGAATCAAGGGAGGGAGGCTTAAACTAGCTGCCGATCCGGATTTGAATGTGTGAAACATTTCAAACGAGTTGGTTTCGTTTTTACAAAAGATAACGCAGAACTTTTCACTTCTCAAAGTCATAAGTTTGATATGGACAAAGGTCCACAGTGATTTATATGAAACCATCAAATGAAACCACGGGGAATACTTGAAAGCACTTTCTGTTAAGATGAAACACGACCCATCAAAAAACCAAAATGAAGTGCTTAAATTTTCTCCAATTTCTTATTCAGCAATCACAAAACCGTTTCCGGAAATTCGATTCGACAATTAAGTGCTACCAAGATCTGCTTACTAATCAGAAATGTAGCCGATTGACCGATTGATGAGGTTATTTCTCTGCCAAGTATGGCACCATATTGCAACACATCATCTATAATGGCGTAAATATTGTTCTGACAGCGATCAGGGATGGCTTTTCTGGTAGTTCATGAATGGATTTGAGGAAGTTAATTTTGACTTTCATGTCACCTAATTGTGATTCCAGTTATGCAACAATTTGTCGCTTTATATTTAAATTAGGAAATTTTGAGGTTACGACAGTTTCAAAAGGAAAAAATGAAAAAGCAATATAATGCAAATTTGTTGATGAAAGTTTATTTCCGATAAAATTGCAGTTTGCTTGCATAAATCTTAACGCAGGTTAGGAAATTTGAGCAGCCTTGAAGTACTAAGAGAATTGTATTTTCCTTTTCTTTGCTCAGAACATTAAATTCATTTCGCTACCTGTTAAGTTTGTATTACAACAACACTTTCGAAATTTGCTGTCACTTCTTACTAACAACGGAAGTTTTCATTTTTTTCTTACAAATTATCGGATGCAGTAAAACAAGGTTTCTCATTCATAATTTTCTGTATTACAACTAATTTCAGTCTAATGAAGTAATTTTGAATCAAAATTTTTCAAAACAAAAGAAGTAAACTAACTGGTTTCAACATTGACAAGTTTGTTGCTATTGCGGCTGTCTAGGATTGAAACAGCCCGCAAAATAATAATAAATTTTGATTCAAAACTAGAATGAAAATTTTAATTTCCATTTAAAATTGTGATTGTTTATAGTTGACAAATGTCAATAGCCTACGATTATCACAGTGCCTGAAATGATTGTGGCAAAAATCTATCATGGTAAAAGGGTGATAAAAGTGAAAAGGATTTACTAATATTTTGATATGAAAATATCAAATAAAAGGAACTTTTGTAGTCAATATAGTATGTATCTTATATCAGAAATTTACAAACCTGATTTGAAAAATATCAAAAATTTGTACACAATGAGCAACTTATAAACTAACTTATTTATTTGGATATAGAAAGTAAAAGTGATAAGTGTAGAAGAAGAGTATAGTGGTTGCTTAAGATAAGAATAGTAAATGCATCAAATTATTTCATAATTTTCGACGAATTAAAAAATTTTAAATTTGTATTAGTCTTGTGGACATGGGAGTCTCAAATTCTATGATATATATCGGATGGCCGACGATTGTTTAACTCTTGTTTGTTCCCATGCAAACGTTATTTGCTTCTTGAATATTTGCTTTGTGAATACTGAAATTATGATTCTTTCTGAAATTGCATGCGGAACTGAACTGCCAAATAACCCTGCAACATTGACAATACTGTCATCAACAGTGCGATAGTTGTGTCAATAAAACCATTTGCACCCATCGTTATGTTTAAAATTTACATGTACGATATCTGGAAATTGTCGTTTCATGGAAATGTTGAATGTGCTGTGATAAAAGAAAAAGTTTGATTGATATCTTTCAAGAATGGTCTTATAAAGACATTTTTTGTGCGATCTGCAAGACTCGATGAATTTAAACAATTTAACAAATTCATGGCTTTTCTGTCTCTTTTCATTTCGTTAACTCGGAAAATGAGTAAACTCGGACCGGCATGGCTGAAATGATCGCTTCAGGTACTTCGTATACTCTTTTCCATCTCCCGTCTACATGAGCTTGCATCATTGTGAAGGATTTTGATTTTCCTTTCCGCTCCAAAATGATCTTAATTCACGTTAAAATGTAATGCGTAAAAGTTCGAACTAATTGAAGAATTGTTGTCTGTCTATGGTTCGATTGAATATCGGATATTGTAACAAAGCAGTGAAATCAATATCACGCAGCGTTTTCTCAGTTATTTCAGCAAATGATAGTGACGGATGGCAATAAAGGAGTGTGCGTTCGGGATTTTTCGGGGTATGGGTAAAGAAAAAAATCGCATTGGCAAAGCTTTGATTGATTTGCCAGAATACGGCAGAACCGGTGTATTCCCTTTACAGCTGTTCTCAGAAACTAGCTGGCCTACTGTAAACTATTGGTGCAGTAAATGTTTACTTTGATATTTTCCGCTCTTTCGTCATAAGTTACCTGCGAATAACCAAGGATACTTGATGCAATCAAAGCAAAATTAATATTTATTGATCACGCACTTCAAGTGCATTAGGTTAGCTATAGACTTCTCATTCCCATCGATCAGTTACTGCATTTCTTCTCTTAATATCGTTTCTAATCTTAATTTTCATAACTTAAGGAGTAAGTTATTTCAATGAAGCCTCGAAATAGTTATGATAGACTTGATTTATACCGAGATATTACTTTTATTTCAATCATAATTATTAATAAGATCGTAAAAGCATTCGAGTAAACCCAGCAAACTCGGACATAATATAGTTGTCCTAAAAAAAACTAAACAATTTGGTCGAATCAATTTCAAATATCTGAATGAGAGTGATAAAATTTGTAGGGAAATGAAGATTGTGATGGTTTTGAATCGTGTGCTATTATAATTTAACTTCATTTTTTCTTCAAACGCTTCTCATTCATGTCAGCTTCTATCGTTTTCTAAATATTTGGTAGCAATTTTTGTAGCATTCTGTGCTGAACGGTTACGCAGTTATTATTTCTTCAAACAGAGCATACAATTCTCATAAACATATGCATAATACTTCCAAGCATATTTCAGGTCCAAATATTCTGATTTGTTAATTTCTCTACCTCTCGTTGTATTGGTTTAATTTAATTTATAGTGATTTAGAAAACACTTGATCAAATATTTCTGAAAAAAATACAAAAAAAAGTTAATTGGTATAAAAGGGATAACGATGACCGTTACACTTAAGCAATGAATGTTTTCTGTAAAGTTTTTTAAAAATTAGATCATAATGGCTTTAGTTTGCAAAAAATACATAATGCTGCTTCAAGCCTAATCAATCTGTCAAAAGGAATGCAAAACCGCGAATTAAACTGATTAAACTATTTCAAAGTATGGAGATGCAGGAATGCGCTAAATTTAACTTCTTCTTCCTGATGGAATCATTCCGTTCTTTTTTAATTTGCTTTCTGGAATGAACATATACGCAATACTTTATAACTATTTAGCAGTATCTCTATTGTCTTGTATGGCTTACAGGAACTATTCTAATCTTTGTTACAGTGGTATAATTTTTAATTTATCTGATATCTTTTTATTTAGTTCGTAAAGCTAAGCAAGTAGACACCTATATTGCGGATTAAATAGGACCTAAATTGGCAGTAAAAAATCACTGTTTTAGGAAATATCTTTGTTGAAAACATTTCCCGAGAAATTTCCCATAATCCTTTACAGTATTTCATGCTTTCGGTTCACCCCAATATTTCAATACCTTTTGTCATTGAATTTATTATAATTTTCCAGAATGAATTTTAAAATATCGAATATTCTATTGAATTTATTATAATTTTCTAGAATGAATTTTAAAATATCGAATATTCTACCCATAATGTGAAGAACTTACTGCTTTATATTAATCGTTAAGTTAAATCAATTTATTAATTTTCATTATACAAATAGGGCTGTTTTTGAACAAATATATACATACATATCAATACATGACATCTAATTTAAATATGCAAATTCTTTGATTGGACAAAATAGATTAAATCCTTAAACAACAAATGATATCGTTGCATCATTTTCAGAAGAACATAGCAACACATTAATATCCCATCAAAGATTTCTTAAAAATAATGTATTCAAACACCTGAACACGAAAATATTTGGCGAAGAAGAAATCAAAGCTCAATTCTGGATTTGAGATGATAGAAATTATTATCCAAAAAGACAATGGAATTCCAGAAGTCAATTAGAGCAAGTTGATTATTCAGTAATAAAATTTGAAGTTGGTTCAATAATTTCAGTTTGGAGACACTATAGAAATGGTTTTAAAGTACACAATTATTAACTGAGGTAATGTGCTATCATTACAATAATTAAGACTGCAAAGATCAGACTCAAGAGAATCTTCGTTAGTTGTAAATAATTTGCATAACGAGTGCAGATCACTAACTTTTATTTTAGTAATAATAGATAGTAGTCCAGATACAGCAAAGCTGTTAAAAACTACCAAAAAATTGAATTTTAAATTGAATGCAGAATAAAAATAAACATTTGTAGTATAATTCTACTTTAATTAAATGTAGTGGTGAGAACTACTTCAATATAACGATGAGGACAATGAATTATATCCTGATGATGATTGCGATGATACGCGCTCACGCCACGGGATGTATTTTTGAATAGTTGTCTTCAGAAAGTTCAGATCAGTGGATTCAATGGAATCCTCCCGGAAATCTTCCAAAGAATCCCTCCTTGAACTGGTGGAACTGCTATTGCTGCATCCATCAGCAGTGGACATGGATGATAAATCGGCTTCAATTCCGATATCGTCTTCTACATTACCCCAAGCCATTTCATCCTTCCACCAATGTTCCGCAGTAGTTCCAGCTAGATATTTTTGATACATAGCATCTAGTCGAATAGACTGATCATGTGTGAAATAGTTCTTCCAGTCTCCGCTTCCACCCTTCCGGATGAAAATATTCTGTCGTCTGAAAATATCAAGTTTGAATTGTTAAAAATTAGATGCGGAACAATGAATAGCAAAGGGACAAGTGCTTGCTTCACTTTTTTCGATAGTACAACAAGTCATCAAATTACTTCTCTTATTTTGATTAATTGATGCCAAAAAGATGATATCTCACAAGTCTGTACTTCTTTTACAGCATCGACATACTGCCAAAAAGATGTGATCAATCAAATTGCACATGGTATTTTTTCATTACCCTCAATCGATTCCACTTTAAATGATCAATCTTTTAACTCTTCTTTCAACTACCCTTTTTTTTTTTGAAAAAATGACGTGAATTTTAAAAACAGAACTATAGCAAATCTTTCATTTTGTTTTTTTTTTATCGAATGATGGCCATTCATCAAAAATACGAAAAGTCCGGAACTTTTGTTTTTATATGTGCGGCAGCAGAAGAAAAGTAACACTTTCTGTATGGATTTTCTTATACCTACGACGGTCCTTGGGGACTTTGAAAGTTAGATAAAGTCTAATTTAAAAATCAATTAGATATTTACAGATTATTTTCTGGAAACCATCGCCATTGATCCTTCTTCATAGATTTAATCGTGCTGTTCGCCACAATTTGACTTAATATCGTCTTATCCCGAATATGTTTTGCAGCTTTACCACCCAAAAATTCGCCAATTCTCATAACGGCTTGTGGTAAATCGGCGCACATGTCCTCATATTTCAGAAACAGCACATTTTTATCTTTAATATGTGGAAGCCAACTGAGTAAGTAATCGAAATAATTTCCGAATGCGATATTTTTCGTCAGGAAAAGTTCAAAAAATGCGGAAAAATCACCATGCTCGTAATTGTAGATTTTGAAGTTGCGATTGTGAAAAAAGTAGCTGAAATTTCATCAACTCATTAGTTTAATATTTGGGCATAAAAAAAAATTCCCCTCAGCCACTAATTTTGAAAAACTGCTGAAATTGTTAAGTAGAAGTCAACCTTGTAAGGCAATCTTTCGGATTTCGAACTGCAAGAATATATTTGGCATTGTTATTTTTCGGCACATTGTACCATGTGAAATGTGTTTTCAATAGTCGTGGTGAGTCTAAATTATCAGCAAATCTTGCACCCATTCGTTCAATCATTGGACTTGTTATGCACAACTCTGAAATTAGCAAATTAAAGATAGGTTTACGTGGCGGTAAATGGAAGAGAAATGAAATAATACAGTTACCTTGTCCAACTTGTGGTCCGTAATTGTCTGTTAGCAACTGTGAGCAAATATGTTGTATCCACGTGGTGCCACATTTAGGATAAGTACATACGAAGATGTCACTATCACGTGGTATCATAGTCTTTGCACTTCTGCAAAAAAAAAGATCGAACTAACACAGTCCTTTAAATTTGTTGAAATTTTCAAGATGAACTTAAAGAATGCATTGCACTAGAAAAACAGATTTGAGATATTTGGCAGCTTTTTGCAAATTGCCAAAAATAAGTGTTTTCAAATTATACCTTACAAATTCAGGCTTGAATACCGGTGGCCAAATTTCGTTATCAACATAGGATTGTTTTGGTTGACCTTCCAGTTGAAAAACGAATGCATTTTTGTGAGTTTCCAGACTACAGGATGCAGAAGTTGGTAGATGTTTGGCCGTGGGCAAGTCAGTACCTTCGATTTTCAATTTCCGGTTATGTTTACTTGTTGGGGCCATTTGACGGAAGCGAAACTCTCACGTTTCAAATGCGCTAATAGAAGCCGAAAGCGGTAGTACTGTTTGTTAAGTAACACTATCAATGATAATAATAATGACAGTAGTAATGATAACAATATGTAAACTTGATAGTTAAAGTTGGCTGTCGAATAGCACCGGGGTTGCATGTCCTTTAAATATGTTTAGTGGAGACGAAAACCCTCAGATGCTGCCCCAGGAATGTGTGCCGCCCACAAGCAAACGTCCGATGACGCCGCCCATCGTGGAGGAACTTCTAATCATTCAAACACCATGTGCCGATGACTAGATTCTTCCTCCCACGCTAACGACAACTGTGACAGTTGTTGAGAAATTTTTTCTTGATTGAAACTTCATAAACAAGCAAGAAAAGAGCGAATGGAAGAGTATCACAAATGCATCAAAGCTTCAATTGACATGTTGATTTTAGGCAATTTCGAGAAATTAATTTAACCATATCAAATAATTATTTCGTAAAAAGAAGTTACATTGAAAATATCAGTTGATTCATTCCCAATTGAGTTTTGGCTCATTTTAGTGTTTGAAAAAATGTTTATCATGTCAACCTTATGAGTGATAAAGTTGCCTGCTGTCATGCATATATCAAGTGACACGAGTAATAACTGGCTATTAAAGTAACTCCACTGAATGGTTTCAGTTAACAATTTTTAATCTCTCACTGAGTAATTAACAATTATTATGCATATAAATAAATAAGACTAACATTTTTGGCAATGATACCACTTTGTTTTATTTATCGAATGATTGAATCACAAATAGTTCAAATGACTTAATTTTGGGTTGCCGTATTTTGACGTTATTCTATTTATAATGATAATGAAATGCCTTTTGATCGGTTACAATATTTTAGGCTAAATGCTTTTTCTCTTCGAATCACCGTTTTCAGTTCCCTTTTCATCCTTACCGTTCAAAAGAGGTCATCGAAATTTCTGAACATTTCCATGAAATGAATAAAATTAATTCTACCTGTATATCACTGCTTACAATCAGAAAGAAAATTATTAATGACAGATGCTGAGAATATCACTCTCTCATCACTTTACCATTATCAATTACACTTCAAAATTGTCACCAGAATTTGCAAATATAAGGCACCAACTTCGTTAAAATAATATTGAAACAATCAAATGTTACTCTATGAGCTACAAAATGAGTTCAATTTTTCACCCTATTATTCAACTAAAAAATTTCAAACAAACTTTATCTACGATATTCTAAACAAAAAGTGATAGTGAATAAAGCTGTGAAATATTATTTTAATTGTTCTTGATCTACAGTTTTCGGAAGTTTGCAAAGAACAGCGGAACACTTGAGAACACAAGAAGATACGAAAGAGGATGGAGCTAAGACGGATCGATGGAACGAATACTGGATCAAGCAAAGGAGAATGAAATAATTAAAATTACGCAAATATCATCAAGGACGCTGGGATTGCTAATTTTAGCACTTCTAACTAATGATTGTAAATGCTAATGATTGTAAGCTCATTCTGAAGTTCGCTATCGGAAAGTAAATAAAAATTTGTCAAAGTGTTCACTTTTTTGTGTTCTTTTGAAATTTTTAAAACATCAGAAAGTGCAAATAGTGCATTAATAGTTCAACTTTTAATTATGCATAATATTTGAATAAGATCTCTCGGTTCATCTCTCTTTACAATACAGTGCGCTAATTCAGAAAACGATATATGCATGAGCTAACGTACCAAAGTGCGAAAAGAAATGCTGAAATGTTTTGTCAAATGCAGTTCTAAATTTGACAATTAGTCTATCGCGAAAGGGAAAAACGTCATTTCAACGGTGTCCATGTAGCCTTGTTTATAATTTTCTTCGACGCATCATTTTTCTTATCATAAACTCTCACGTGACGACGAAAATTTACATCTTGGTTTTTTATTGTTTGGTATTAAAACTGTTTTTTCTTTTAAATTTTTGAAAGAAATGCTATGCAGCTCTATTCATACGTTTCTCCTTAGAAGGTTTCTTCTTAGATTTAACAAAACATGTAAGGATCAAACAAAAATAATGAACCATATGAACAAGTTCAGCATATTAATTTTGTACAGTAATCCCGTACTTTTTGCTTCTCGACTGTCTGTTTCAGATTTAATATTTATGCATTAATTTAATATTCATTTCAATCAATTCAGTTCTGGAAAATATTTCATCCGCATCCACAGTAAAGAAAAAGATGCTCTGATATTAGACGATCTCAGGGTTGTTCTTTTACAGTGGAGTATTTATCCATAAGATTGATTTTTAATTTTCTTTTTTTTTTTTTTTTGAAAAATTCTTCGAAATGTAAAATGACACGCAAGTTGCTAACGACACAAATGATATGATGCGAGACGATGATAAAAAAAGAAAGAAAAACTGTAATACAATTTTATATTTCATCTAAAATCGCATTTGAAACTCTTTTGAAATCTCATTTTATTTTCACATTGTGTACGTCCAATCGATCACTTGTTTATCCTACCGTATCATGAAAAACGTGTCAAAAGTATTGACCATAACTTTTATTAGATATAATAGTTAATTTTTTGAACTGTCAAGTGCATATTTACTTTTTTTTCTTTACCATAGCTTCCGGTTCCCTTTGGAAATAAGTCATCACGAAGGATTTGACGGATGAACTTCCATTCAAAAAATTTATTATATAGTAATCATAGTCCAGTGGTAAAATCCGGGACTCTCATCAACATCTTTTGTACTAACATTTCAGCTCGTCCATAGCTTTATCACCAGCACCTGCGGTACCCTATGAATCTGATAAAAATAAAAATATATTAATTGTGATAAACCAAATGATTAGAGAAAAATTATGATGGAAAGAAAAGCTGACGATCATGTTATTTAGGAAGGAAAAGCAACAAACGTGTGGAGGGGTAGGGTTGAGACGTTGAGAGAGTATTCTAAAAATTGTTAAAATCATCTGACCCATTTAAATATTACAACTGCAAGCTCATTTCCATCATATCTTTTGCATCTTTTAAATTGAAATGTCTTATTTAAACTATGCTTAAAAAAGGACTTTTATTGAGCAGGAGAGAATAGCGGCGTCATCTCAAATGAATATATAAATGTTTTGATTGAATATAACAAAACAGCTAATATACTCACTTATTTCAACAGTGAACATTACGAAGTAAATGCAGCGATAAATTTTCAGGAGCACAGACCGATTCTTGCTAAAGTTGACAAGCCAGATGTTATAACAAGTCGCGGTTCTTCCAGTCACTGGCCTCGTGATTTTGATATTAAAATCGTCATTGCTGATAATTTAAAATATTGTCATTATTGCAAATGGCGATGTTTACCAAAATTAAGAAAAAGTGTCATATGAAATAAGCAGGAATTCTATTAGAAACCAGTTCCAGAAAACCATACCGACCGCTGTAAATGTAAATATGCCTCAACGCAAAACGCAATTGAACTCTGGATTGCTCCATCTTCACCTTCCTCACTGGTCAACAACACACCTCTAATATGAACGATTGCGCTTAGAAACCACTGTCAACAAACAAATATGATATTTTATTTAATTTAATGATATCAGTAAATGTTGATGGTATGAATAACAACAATAAGAGTTATAAGTTCCACACAAGTTGTAAGTGTGGAAATATTTCAATCACTTCGACATCCTATGAGGTTTAAGAGCGGAGCAGTAAAGTAGATTTAAATCAAAGCTGGGAGCACTCAATCAGTCATATAAACGCGGAGTTACATAACGGATCAAAAAATTTCCTCTTTATTCTTTCCTTTTTTTTTCTTTCGCCCACTTTTCCTTCTCTTTTATTTCTAAAATTTTCGCCTTAAATCATAAGATTTTCAACTTAATGATTAAAAAAGATCCACCATCGAAGTCCCTCGTTAGGAAATCATTTCTTAATAGTGATATAATAACAGAAATACAAGGAGATAGTTACACTCGGGAGAAGATTTTATTACAGATCCAGTCCGTAAAAGGAAACTTTGCCAAATGTGTTTTGTTTAACTATTAATAGTCTTAATTACTAGTTTCAACTTTTGCTATGAAAACTTTCTACCGTGCAACTTTTATTGATAATAAATAGTAGCAGTTGACAAATTCGGTTATTGCATTATCACGTATGGATTTAATCAATTGCCAATACTGTTACTTCTACGAGGTGAGGCTCTTGTCAGGGTTGAAGTTCACTTCTTTCAATACAAGGTAACATTCCTTGAATACAGGTAAGTCAAATGTTGGAATAATTTGCAGTTTATTCACTTGGCGAAGATAATAGATCTTAGAATGACTGAAGGAGAGAAAACGTTGAAATATATCTTCCATTGTTGTGGAATGTGAAAGTAGTTTGTTTTAAAAATGACATCATCGTCATCGTACCAAAGGTCAAACCATCGAGGATGATCACAATAGTTGCATCATTCTTGTTGGTTTTAACCTTTGGTACAAGTATAATGACGAGAAACTTCGCTCAATCTTCAGGAAACATCACCGTTCCCATTTGTGCTCTTCTTTTTCTTATTCTACTCATTCGCTCATTTGTCATGTCATTGTTGCCGACTAGTTCCAATAATGATCGTGATACGTTTGATGCATTCCCAGTCTGTTCAATGAAATATTTCATCAGGCTGAGAAGTATTTAGTCTTAGCGCTCATAGACGAACGACACTTTTCAAGCCACGTGGTTGTCGAGACGGGAACTCTGCCAACAAACACTGATTTTTTTTTTATTACATTGGTAAAACTTTGAAACAGAAACAAACGTGATAGTATACATGGATACACACATACACATACACACACATATACACTATATATATATATATATATATATATATAAATATATAACACATACAGACATACGGGAGTTTTCAAAAATTGATAATCGATGAATTAGGAAGTAAACTGTATTGATAAGGGAACAAGAACTTCAAAATAAAGAAGCAAAACTTTTACATCGAAATAAGGAAGGAAATGAGTGAAATTGCGAGAAAGAGAGCTTTCCAATGTTCGTTTTGTTATCGATAACTTATAACATCGATACTATGATGAGGTGTGAACTCTTAAGAATCTTACCTTAGATTCATCGGCAAGCTTCATTTGAAGCTCGATATTGGAAAAGGCAATCCGGAAAAGTCGATCCAAAAGTGATGTTGTTATTAGCTTTAGAAGTAACGGATATTTTTCAAAAGCTATCAAAATCTATAACTACTATGGGATGGAAAGCTTGAGAAACAAGACGGGTGAATTTCGCCACATTAAAAATGTGAAGGCATAGACGAAAGGATTACACAACAGCGATTATCAAACCTGATCCTGAAACCTGTTAAGCACTTACTTGAGAATACCCAATTCTGCAATTCTGCGCTGTAGTTGTTGGCTGGATATATAATATGTATCGTAAATGATATATTATTGAAACTTCAAGAGCATTTGAATTTGCTTTGCAGATTACAGTGTTATGATATGCATATCAATGGTAAGAATAACTGTTTATCCGGAAAATTTCAGTTGCGGTGATATGATAATGAAACTATTGGTTTGATATAATCGAGTACTAATTGATGGAGATGACGAGATACTGGCAAAATTTCTCAAAACAAGTGGATGAACTCCTTAGAGCATTATAATCATATCAATTTCAAAATCCTTAACATCCCACTTGCATTCGTACATATCTACTAGTTAGGAAGTTTGCAGTTCGAATTAAAAACATTACAAAAAAATTTTATTCCTTCTTTCATCTTTATTGAATATATTCTACAATATACCGAGGTACATTTGTTGTTTAAATACATTCAACAGGGAAAGATGAAAGAGTCATATGCTATTTATGTGTCCAACCGTACACCCGTATTGCATCACTTTTCGTCATCCAATCACCAAAAAAAAAAAAGAAAATAAAATTAA